CAGCCAGCTTAAAAGCGGGTTCCCTCTCAGCACCAGCTCCATGGGAGGGAGCAGAGGCATTCCACCTTTGAAATGTACCAGAGTCTCTGCTGGGGCTCTTGTACATTTCAAAGGAGACATGCCGCATGGAGCCTGGGGCTAGCCTGGCTCTTGCACACTTCACAGGCAGAACGCGGGAGGGCTTTTGCTATATTTTAAAGCAGAAGCGCCCTTATCAACTAATCAAATAGTCGATGGAAATTCAATTAGTTGATTAATTTAATTTTAACATCCCTAGTTCAGGGAACATGTGCCCCCTCAGGGATATCCCTGCCTTTGTTGGGTATCTGCCATGAAACAGCTTTAACAGGAGAGACTGACGGGGCTCAGTGATTAAAGGAAGTGGGAGACTCCACATAAGTAGGATCTCCCTGATCTCCCCCATCCTCTGAGTGCCCTAACCACTGGGATATAATTTATAAAGTGGGCTCTTCTTTCAGCTGTTTTGCGTGAAGTGAAGTACACAACTACCGCCTTCCTTCAGCAAACTGCTTACGCATCTAAAACACCAGACTCTGGGAGAAAAGTTCCTGGTTGTGGATTGCTAGTAGAGAGAGGTGCCTGCTTGCAGCCCAAACCAATCTCAGAGAGGGGCAGGCCTTAACACACATGCTTGTCATCAGCAGCCTGTACTGGCAGGTTAGGTAACTCTCTGCCCAGCAGGCTGGCTTCTGTGGGTCACATTCTAAAGAGCATGTCTCTTCCCCATTCATTTTAAACAGGGTCCTTACATACCTAACTCAGGCTTTGTGGATTACATTGTTGTTCCTGTTATTTCCTAGGTGCCACAGTGCTCAATGGTGCACAGCGTAAGTCCCTGTGTGGATCTAGGCCCAAGCAATTCAAAGAGTCAGTACCAGGCAAATTAGTTGACACTATAGTAAAGAATAAAATTGTCAGACACGTAAATGAACATAATCTGCTGGGGAAAAGCTAACGTGTTCTCTGCAAAGGGAAATCATGCCTTACTAATATACTAGCGTTCTTTGAGGGGGTCAACAAACATGTTGGACAAGGGGGATCCAGTGGGTATAGTGTACTTAAATTTCCAGAAAGCCTTTGGCAAGGTCGCTCACCAAAGGTTCTTAAGTTGTCATTAGATAAGAGTGAAGGTCCTCTCCTGTCAAAAGACCAGTTATCAATCAATGAAACAAAAGGTAGGAATAAATGATAATTTTTCAGACTGGAGAGAAGTAACTAGTGGTGTCCCCCTAGGGCCCGTACTGGGACCAATCCTATTTAACGTACTTACAAATGATATGAAGAAAGGGGTAAACAGTGAGGGGGCAAAATTTGCAGATGATACTAAAGACAAGATAGTTAAGATCAAAGCAGACTGTGAAGAGCTTCAAAAAGATCTCACAAAACCAAGTGATTGGGCAAAATATTGACAAATTAAATTTAATATTGATAAATGTAAAGTAATGCACATGGGAAAAAATAATTCCAAATATACATACAATATGATGGGAACTAGTTTAGCTATAACTGCTCAAGAGAGAGATCTTGGAGCTATTGCAGATAGTTCTCTGAAAACATCCACTCAATGTGCAGAATCAGTAAAAAAAGCAAACAATGTTAGGAATGATTAAAAAAGGGATAGAGAATAAGACAGAAAATATCTTATTGCCTCAACATAAAACCATGGCACGCCCACATCTTGAATACTGCAGGCAGATGTGGTCACCTCATCTCAAAGAAGATATGTTGGCATCGGGAAAGGGTCAGAAAAGGGCAACAAAACCTATTAGGGGTTTGGAATGGTTCCTATATGAACAAAGATGAAAAAGACTGGGACTTTTCAGCTTAGAAAAAAGAAAACTAAGGGGTGATATGATAAAGGTCTATAAAATCATGACTGGTGTGGAAA